CCTCGCTCAGCCAGTGAGCGGGAACCGGTCTGTATGTGGGATCCGAACCCTCGGCGGGAGCGCCACCACGCTCTCAAGCGGCGCACTATAGCAGTGTGCCACCGGGCAGGCCCTGAAGACCTCTTGTATATAAAATTGACCCGCAATTTCAGAGGGTTTGTAGACCTTGTCCAGACCCTTTGCTTACGAGGCTTACCCAACTGATGACACAGAACAGTTCAGCATTGGTCCTTCCTATTATTCAAATTGTAACCAGAGAAGGAAGGAGGAGCCAGGAGATAAAGCCGAGGAAGGGACGGGTGGGCGGGCAGTGAGGCAAAGGTGGAAGAACCAGGTGATGTTACCTTGACCCCTGCATTGAACATGGTGAGTGCTATGGTGGTCCTGACCATTGCATTGGTCACGTAATTTCTCTCCATCATCCTAAAGCAAAAGGACTAAGGTCAGACATTAGGGAGAAATGTCCAATGGGGGAAAGAAAGGGTTGGAAGATTACGCACTTTCCTGCACCTTGGAGATCTTCAAGACTGAGAGAAATGCTACACATGAATTAGATGTATGTCTGGTGGCTGATGGATCATTAGTTAAGCCAAAGACGGGGGACGGGGGGAATGGGTAGGTTTGGGGTGGGGGATGTGAAGGAAGGAGAGAGAACACTTTACCTGCTTACAAGGGGTTGAAATAGCCACAGGTTGCTCAAGATTAGATTGGTAGGGAAGGGAAACTGAAAGGGAAAGAACAAGTCAGCAGGATCTCAGCGGGGTCAGCACGACTGGGTCATGTTCCTGAGGCCTGGGTCTCTCTCTGCTTTAGACCTGCCTTGGGGGCCCTCGATGGTCAGGAGTGCAGCTGAATTCAGCAAGCTCAGTCTCTGCTGGAGGGTAAGGGACAGGGAGGCAATTACTACCTGGCTGGGTTTATATGTTTGGTTAGAATGATTGCTCAGCAGCCTTAAGGATGGGTGGGGACCAGCTCCCACAGGGTGCCTGGGCGTGTTAGATCTTAGAGTCTCAGATAAGTACCAGTGGCCTCAGAGAACATGAGATCCCTCTGTCTTGGCTCAGCCACTGGCTGGGAATAAGGGAGAATGGGCAGAGCACTGGTCAGCACCAGAACCCTTTTATCACTCTGAAGGCTACTTCTCTGCCACGCTTTTGTTCTTGTTCACAGCTGGCTGACCAGGAGGACATGACATTCCTTCGCACACCTCATTTGCCAGATGCTGCAATGTCGTCTTCAGTGACCCACTTCCAAACATATTTGGCATTGGTGCCTGCTCCAGTCTGTAATAAAAACAAAGTTCTCAGGACAGCCTACCCCAGTCAAAGATCAGTGGCCTGAAGAGGAGAAGGAGGGAGACAGGAGGAAGTTTGGACAAGCCTGACCAGGAGTTCTCCCATTCACCTCTGCCAACACAACATTCTAAAGGTCTCAAAGCGCCAACAGGACCACCTCCACTCCACCAGCAGGAGCTTTCCTGTCTACCAAGTCTGAATTAGGGTCTCTCTCCCTCCCTGTCCCCTGCTCCTCTCTGGCACCTTGTGTGTCCACTCTCATGGCACCTGCCACAGTGCAGCAGAATTGTCAGTCTCCTCTGCTAACTGCGAGTTCCTTGAGGACAGGGACTGTTCCATTCATTACTGTATGCCTATCACCTGGCACAAAGCCTTGAACACGGTAGCTACTCAGTTCAATATTTGTTGAATGAATATAGCTCTCCTTCCCACTTTGCTAAGAAAACCGAGCCAGAGGTGAGCTCTCCTGTTACAGACCCTCCTGTCCTTGCCCACAGCCAGCAGCCCTTATTTATCTTTGTCCTCCCGCCAGCGAAGGTGGAAAATTTAGATAGTTCTTCCAGCCATTGCCAACTTATGATTTCTAATTGCTTGTCTGGACTCTGGACTACTCCAGCTACCTGATCTAGCTTTTGTTTGCTGGCCCTTGCTTGTCATGCGGATGTACTGATACATCCTCTTCTGACCCCAGCCCTTGCCTGGATACTGGTGGCTCTGTCCCTATTGTGGCTTTCCAGCCTAGCTTCAGGGCAAGAAGTTTAGCCACCTCAAACTCCAAGTGGGAAAGTGCCAGGTCTTCCATCCAGAGTCTGGCATGGGAGCAAGGCCAGGAGTTGCTTACCGGCTGACAGCGGCTGCAAGGATGCCAATGCTCGTCTCCTTTGGAGGAGCTGAAGAGTGGCCAGGAGTCATGTTTACTTGCAGCATGAGGTTAATTGCACCTTTCTCTGAGACTGAAATCCTGTAGAAGAGGATCAGAGATGGCTCTCCTGAATTCCTCCCATGCTGAATTATCTCATAGGCCCACAGGCCCACAAGCCCATCTGTGCAGTGGTCTGGTGGGCTAGGAGGTCAGCTTCATGCTGCTTTAAAAAAATCTACTGTAAAGGAGGAAGGGAAGGGGAAGCCTAGGACAGGTTGAAGATCAGGACAATTAAGGCACGTGGGTGTAAAACCATGAGTTGCCTTAGCATGGCTTACAGATATCAGGCTGGTGTCATGTAAAAGGGGGTAAGAACCCCTTCGAAGGTGAGGGATGGGGTGCTTTACTCACATAGCAAAGGGCTTCTTGAGACTGGGAATGAAACCATCCACAATAAAGCTACCCTCGTCCACAAGGAAGGCTAACTGGATGCCCCTTGCCTGTAGGAGGGCTGAGATCTTCTGAGCCCCATTCATTCCCGACACCTGCAAACATTAACCCAGAGCCACAGTCCTTCTCAACCAGAGACAAACCTCCAGAGAAGCTAATGGAGGCCCATTCAGCTTAGCTAGGGGCTCCAGGACCTTCCCACATAGTCTCCTTCCTGCAAGACAAGGCCCTAGACTTGTGTGACAGAATCCTGGAATGTCAGTGCTGGAAGGACACAATCCCCATCATTTTACAAATGAAGAAACTGGGACCCAGAGAATAAAGTGACTTGTCCAGGGTCAAAGTAAGTGTAATCACTGGAAATAAAATACAGCCATCGATCTCCCTATTTATTTCTCTTTCCATCACACCAGTATTTCTCAAGATGTAGTTGATGGACTACCTGCCTGCCCCAGATATTACCAGGGAGTTTGTTAAAAATTCAGATCTATGGCACAGAGCCCAGAAGTCTGAATTTTGGTCAAGGTCCTTAGATATTCCTGGCACACAGACACACAGAGAGGTTGGCAAGCCACTATACCATGTCGTGGAGACCCTGCAGCTGGGGAGCAAACTGGACTAGGGTGAAGTACTCACTACCTCCCCACCCCACAACGGGGCCCCAGGGATGGGTCTGATAGGGTGAAGAGGCTCTACCTCCTCATCATGGCCCAGAGCAATGAAGAAAGATCTTCGGGGGATGTAGTTCCTGATCAGCAGGAGCTCCAAAGCCTGCAGGATTGCCTGGGGTTCAGAAGCACAATTGAAAAGGAGAAGGGTTTTAATCTCAATAGGCGTAGCAGGATGTACTGGATTGAATTATGTCCCCCCAAAACTCCTTGAGGCTTGAATGGTGTCCCCCAAGTTTTGTGTATTAGAAACTTGGCCCCCACTGTGACTGTTAAGAGGGTGGGAAATCCTATTATGGTAATTGAAAGGTGGAGCCTTGAAGAGGTGATTAGATTATAGGACCATGTGGTAGTGAATGGATTAAAAATGGTCAGGGACATGGTTCTGAGGACTTTAAAAGAAAGAGGAAAGTCTGTCTTTCTCTCTCTCTGCTCTCTCTGCTCTGCCATCTCGCAATTTAATACCCTGCCGTTACTGTTGTCACCACCAAGGCCTTCACCAAATGCATTCCCTGGACTTTGGACGACCCAGCCTCAGAAACTGTAAGCAATAAATTTTATTTTCTTTATAAACCACCCAGTTCCGTGTATATTGTTTTAAGCAACAGAAACGGACTAATACACAGGGTATCAGAAACATTCAGCTGTCCACATCAGGGCTGGTAGGACTAAGATCTGATAGACTCCCTTTAAAGAGAACAAATTCAAATAGTCTCAGGGGTCCAGATGTGGGGAAGCCGAGCTCTGCACAAAACCTTTACTACCTGAACAAAAGCATAAACTTAGCAATGTCAGAGCTGAAAGGGTCCCTGGGGGTCATATACTCCAATCCCTATTTACAGTTGAGAAATCAAGGCCCCAAAAAGGAAAATGACAAACTGATGGCTGGAATCCAGGTGTCCTGGAGCCAAGGTTCTTTCTGTCTTTACCTCCTGCCTCCTAGGGGTCAGCCAAGCATCCCTATCTTGGGTTGATCTTCAGGGCCCCACGCAGAGGGAACATAGCACTTCCTACCATCACAGAGTTCTTGTTATCCAGTGTGCCCCGACCATAGATGAAGCCATCACGCTCCAGCCCAGAGAATGGGGGCACCTCCCAGTCTTCTTCAGAGGCAGGCACCACGTCAAAGTGAGCCAACAGCATGTACGGCTGCAAGCTGGGGTCCAAGCCTTGGACAGTGAACAGGTGGCTGTACTCTCCCACCACTTCATGCTGCACGCAGCTAGTGCTGAACACTGTAGGAAAGACTAGAGACAAAGGATAAAAAGCAGGAAGACAAAGCCAGGTTTCACAATTTCCTTTTTATTTTCCTACCACTTTGTGCTCCCTGCCCCCTCGCCCCCTTTTTAAATATGCATCCTCCTTAAGGAAGCCTTCTGAGACAAAGCCAGTCTGATTATTGATCTGCCTGGACAATCTCCGAAATTCCTCTTCCCCATATCTTAATGTGTTATTACTGTGTAATAACATGTGAATCAAGACTCCACCATTAAAAGAGTCAATATCTCAAGATGTGGCTTAGTCTGAACTATAACATGCTATCACAGATACATGTTAAATGGCTATGCAGATGAGGGGTGTTTTAAATTTTGAGTATAGTATGCCCCAGTATCCAAATGTTTGAGGCCAAACCTGCCCCTCACATAAAAATAGTTCAGAGATATTTCTCTTTCATCTATTTAGTTATTTATTTTTGGGTGGTTGGCTGATATGGGAATCTGAACCCATGACCTTGGTATTATAAGGCTGTGCTCTAACCAACTGAGTTAACTGACCAGCCCTATAGATATTTTTCTTTTAAAAAGGCAATATTCCTATTGTTTGTGTTATATAGAGATAAAAATTACTCTGTCTGCCACAGGCCACACTTCTGTGTGCATATGTGAATGTCCCAGGGTCAATTATCAGTAGGTCTTAATACAGGTTGCCTTAGCTACATGGGAAAAAGAACTTCCACCTCTTTCTGGGCTTTGTTGGAAGAATCCCCATATACCTCTGTGGACACTTCGGGTCAATTATCAGTAGGTCTTAATACAGGTTGCCTTAGCTACATGGGAAAAAGAACTTCCATCTCTTTCTGGGCTTTGTTGGAAGAATCCCCATATACCTCTGTGGACACTTCAAAACAAAAAACTGAAGAAGAATATGGTTTTATCTTGTCTGGTTTATCTAGCTTATAGTCACTGTACATTTATTTCCCTATTTTTAGCTCCTATTTAATAAAGACTTCTGGCCTGGCCTCATCTGGGCTCCTGGGTATTAATCCCAGATCCATTTGTCTCATAGTGTTAGAGAGGGGGCTACTTACTGCTCCTAGGCCAATTTCAGATAACTTTAGAGGGTGCTATGGGTCAAATGTGTTCCCCAAAAGTTCATGTGTTGGAAACTTGATCTCCATTGTAACAGAGCTAAGAGGGTGGGAAATCCAATTATGGTATTTGAAAGGTGGAGTGTTTGAGAGGTAATTGGATCATGAGGACTGTGCCCTCGTGAGTGGATTAATCTATTCTTGAAGTAATGAGTTATCATGGGTGTGGTTTTGATGGTTTTATAAGGAGACTGGGTGAGGAGGTTAATTCTCTTGCTTGGGCCATTCTCACCATGTGATACCTTGCATTGCTGTAGAGAGTTCCCACTAAGAAAAAGGCCCTCACCAGACGTGCCCCTTGAACTGTGGACTTCTCAGACTCCAAAACTGTAAAAAATAAATTTTGTTTCTTTATAAACTACCCAGTTTCAGGTATTCTGTTATAAGCAACAGAAACAGACTAATACAGATGGGCTGTTTTTACTTGGTTTAGGAGGGTAGCCTCACTACTGTCCATGAACTTCTCATAAGAGGAGAAGGTATTCCAAGACTCCTTTTATCCTCTGACCCATCCTTCCCAGCTATGTACTCCATGGGTGGTGAGTACGAGGAGAAAGGACTGACGTGATAGCTCAAAGTTGTTGACTGCCCAGAAGCCTGGAAATGTGTCAGTAATGAATCTGGAGTAGGCCTGAGTAGGTGGAGTGTGTGTATAGATGTGTAGGTGTGTGTAAGGAGGTAGGATGGGAAGGGCATGGGGCATTCGTCTAAACACTTGCACAAGGAGAGGCACTCTGTAGTTCGCCCTTCTGATTATGTAATTTTTATTGGCTGACATATTTAAGGCAAAGATTGGGAGAATGCAAATTCCAACTCAATGGCTATGTGGCTTAGATCTTCAATAGGCAAATCTATAGTCTCTACTCTGTCTCCGCTGTAACCTCCTCAACACGTACAAACTCAAAAGAGACCAATGGGAATTAGATTGTTTTCTGATCATCCACAAAATAAACCTTGTAAAAGAACTGTGTCTCCAGTACTTTCTCTGCTACCCTTTGTCCATGGTTTGCAGCTGACCTTTACGAATGTATTCTCCAAACTCTGCCAGGGCTGTAGTATTGGACTCCTTGGGGCTGAAAGACACTGTTGGAATCTGAATGGCACCTGTCACAGTCAAACAGTCAGAGATGGAAAATTAAAGATGATAACAATCATTGTTTTTTCCATAGTCTTCTGTGCATAAAAAGTTCTTTTGCAGTCATTATCTTATTACAGAAAGCAAAACAATCTGTGAGGCAGGTACTGTTGTTTTCCCTAATTCAAAGATGGGGAAACAAGTTCAGAGAGGTTAGGTGAGCTGCCCAAGACTGCCTAGCAGCAAGCAGCAGAACTAGGATTTAAACCTAGGTCTTCTGTGTTTGTCTGGACTAATATGGTTCTTAGAGGAAAATGGTCCAAGATCAGGAGGAAGGAGGATTTGGACCCTGGTCCTGAGTGGGAAGCTACAATAAATTGTTTCCTGAGGGCTCACACTGCCTCTGAAATCACCACTCCCTTTGATGAATCCAAGCTTCATCAGACTCAAGGAACCCACTGTCCTGGGTCCCCACATTAATGAGAAATAGAAGCAACTGCTCTTCCAGATGACCAGACATCAATGTAGAGCTACTAGAAATATGAAAAAACAAGAAAATATGACACCACAAAGAAATACAGTAATTCTCAAGTACGAGACCCCATGGAGCAGGAAACCCTTGATGACTGACAAGGAAGTCCAAGCAGCAATCTTAAGGAAACTCAATGAGATACAAGAAGACTCAGACAATACAAAGAAATGAGAAAAAATATCCAGGATAAGAAGGAGGAAATTTATAAAGAGATTAATACCTTAAAAAAGAATGTAGTAGAACTCCTGGAACTGAAGGATTCATTCAATAAGATAAAAACACAACCTAGAGCTTAAGCAGCAGGTTAGAGCAAGCAGAAGAAAGAATTTCTAATCTTGAAGACAGTCTTTTGGAAATAACCTAGGTGGACAAAAACAAAAAACAAAAACAAAAACACAAAAAAATGAGGAATATCTAAGGGAGCTAGGAGACAACCTTAAGCACACAAATTCCTGAATCATGGGCATTTCAGAAGGGGAGGAGAAAGGAAAATGCACTGAAAGCCTATTTATTCAATGAAATAATAATGGAAAATTTCCCAGGGAGAGACACAGACCTTCAGATCCAGGAAGCTCAAAGATTCCCAAACAGATTCAATCGAAAAAGATCCTCTCCAAGATACATTATAGTCAAACTGGCAAAGCTCAAAGACAGAGAGAATCCTAAAAACAGCAAGTGAAGAAGCATAAAGACACCTATAAGGGAGTACCCATTAGACTAACAGCAGGCTTCTCAACAGAAACTCTACAGGACACTCCTATTTAACAGTATTGGAAGTACTAGCCAGAGCAAGCAGGCAAGAGAAAGAAATAAAGGGCATCCAAATTGGAAAAGACAAAGTCAAACAGTTCCTGTTTGCAGACAACATGATCCTATGTATAGAAAAACCTAAAGACTCTACCAAAAAACTCTCAGAGTTGATAAACGATTTCAGTAAAGTTGCATCATACAAAATCAACACTCATGGGCTGGCTGGATAGCTCATTGGTTAGAGCATGGTGTTACAACACCAGGGTAAAGGTTTCAGATCACAACACTGGCTAGCACCAAAACCAACATGCAAAAATTAGTAGCGTTTTTATACTCCAGCAACAAACTAGCAGAAAAATAAGTCAAGAAAGCAAGCCCATTTACAATAGTCACCAAAAAAATAAAATACCTAGGAATCACATTAAACAAGGTGGTGAAAGATTTCTACAATGAGAACTATAAATATTGCTGAAAGAAATTAAAGATGACACAAAAAGATGGAAAGACATTCCATGCTCTTGGATTGGAAGAACTAACATTGTGAAAATGTCCATTCTACCCAAAGTGACCTACAGATTCAATGCAGTCCCCATCAAAACACCAAGGACATTCTTCACAGAAACAGAAAAAACAATCCTAACATTCTGAGCAAAAAATAAAACTGGTGGCATAAAACTACCTGACCTCAAATTATATTACAAAGCTATAGTAACCAAAGTAGTATGGTGCTGGCATAAAAACAGACACTCAGACCAACAGAACAGAATAGAGAACCCAGAAATCAACCCACATACTTACAGCCAATTGATCTTTGACAAAGGCAACAAGAACATATTTTGGGGAAAAGACTGCCTCTTCAATAAATGGTGCTGTGAAAACTGGACATCCATATGTAGAAGAATGAAACTAGACTCATACCTCTCACCGCATACCAAAATCAACTCAATATGGATTAAAGACTTAAATGTAAGACTTAAACATAGGGGAAACATTTCAGGAAGTTGGACTGGGAAAAGACTTCATGAATAAGACCCCCAAAGCACAGGCAAGAAAATAAAAAAAAAAATAAACAAATGGGATTATATCAAACTAAAAAGCATCTGCATAGCAAAAGAAACAATTAATAGAGTGAAACAACAACCTACAGAATGGGAGAAAATATTCGCAAACTATGCATCCAACAAGGATTAATATCCAGAATATACAAGGAACTCAAACAATTTCACAGTAGAAAAACAAGTAACCTGATTAAAAAACGGGCAAAGGAGCTAAACAGGTGTTTTTCAAAGGAAGACATACAAATGGCCAACAGACACATGAAAAAGGAGCTCAGCATCACTAAGCACCAGGGAAAAGGATATCGAAACCACACTGAGGTATCATGTCATGCCAGGTAGACTGGCCATTATCAAAAAGACAGAGAGTAACAATGCTGGTGAGGATGTGGAGAAAGGGGAACCCTCTTACACGGTTGGTGGGACTGTAAATTAGCACAGCCATTATGGAAAACAGTATGGAGTTTCCTCAAACAAATACAGATAGAACTGCCATATGATCCAGCAATCCCACTGCTGAGTATATACCCAAAGGGATGGAAATCATCATGTTGAAGGGATACCTGCACGCTCATGTTTATTGCAGCTCTGTGTACAGTAGCCAGCCAAGAGTTGGAACCAACCTAAATGTCCATCGATGTACTATTGGAGAAGGATAATGTGGTATATATACACAATGGAATACTACTCTTCCTTAAAAAAAGAATGAAATTCTGCCATTTGCAGCAACATGGATGAACTTAGAGAAAATAATGTTAAGTGAAATCAGCCAGGCATAGAAAGAGAAATACTGTATGTCCTCACTCACAGTAGGAGCTAAAAAATTAAAACATAAACAAAAAAGGAAAGAAAGATACAACATCACAATAATTCATTGAACTTTCAAAAGGAGGGAACAGAACTGAGGCCACCAGAGGTGGGAAAGGGGGAGAAGGGGTTAGCGAGAAATTGGTAAAGGGCCACAAAATATGATTATACTGGAGATGGTGGCAAAAACTAGTAATGTTGAATGTACTAATTACCCTGATTCGAGCATCATATATTGCACACAGGTATGGATATTCAACACCATATTCCACAGATATGTACAGTCAATTACGTTTCAATAAAAAAAGCTCACATAAGTGAACTTCTATTTTCTGTATTATTACTTCAAAAACAAAACAACACAATGGGAACAAATGCATCGGGCAGCTTGATGTCCAGGGAGGGCCTGTGAAACACAATCTTACTTCTGTATTCAGTTTTTCTAAGGATGAACCCTACATCATCATAGCCCACCACACAGATGGGGAAACTGAAGTTGAAAAAGACTAAACTGTCCACCCAAGGGCAGACACAAGATCTGAACTCGGGTATTTTAACCACTGCCCAGAATTCTAAGCTGTGTTGCTATAAGGTCCCTATCGTAGGTTTTACCTAGCTTTTGCTTTCTTCTGTTCAAAGAGACTCTGAGCGGTTGACCAATGTCTTTCAGAGGAATATTTATTCTATGCTTTGGGAAAGCCCTGCTCTGTCTCTCAGGCTTATCACTCCAGCACATGCACAACCTATATGCAAGCACAGGGGTTAGCTTTTGGTTTCTGCATCTGCCCGAACATGTTTACGTAGGCAGTTTCTCTTAATCCAATAATTAATGAGACAGAAAAGACTGGAGCTAAGCCCAATGGTGAGCAAGGATTTCATTATCCCGCAGGATCTAGTCCTCAACAGAAATTTTCCTCTTTACTCCTGGAAAATGCAGATTCAGAGGGTGAATGAGTTTTTCAGCTTTTGTTAGAGTTCTAGGATAGAGATGTCCTTCAATTAGGAGAGGGATTAGGAACATCCTACATCCCAGGAACCCTTCGCATCCCTCCTTAGAGCCATCTGGAGCAAAGCGAGTCCCACAGGCACTAGATATCACCCAGTGCCCACTCCTTGCTGTGAGACCCTGGGGAAGATTACTTAACTGATCCAAGCGTCAATTTCCTTCCTCATTTAGATAAGACTAAGATCATTTAGAAAATACTCGAGGCAATGGGGGTAGGGTGGGCGGCAGCCAAGCCAAGAAAGGCGGAGCTGGAGCTTCCAGGCTCGGCAGGGGACATCGGAGTCCCAGAAGCCGGGTCTGGGCAAACAGTGGCGTCCCCAAGCCCGGGGCACGATGTGCTGGGACGGGGATTGGGCAGGACTGGTATGTGTGTGGCGGAGCTCCGAGAAGGGGACCCTCTGCGGAAGGACAGTGGAGTCATGGGTTGCCCTGAGGAGGGAGGGACAAGCATCTGCGCATAGGTGGGTGAAGGGGACTCAGTTTCACCTTTCAGCGCCTCTTTCATCGCGACGCGCTCCTCTTTGTGGAACTGAGAAGGGATTCGCGATGTCCCCTGTTGCTGCTTGCCCCTTAGGCCCATCGGTCTGGAGACGGTGGCAAAAACTAGCAGCAGCATAACCGCCAGGGCCAGCACGCGAACGCACCGCCGAGCCATGCCCTTCGCGAGTCCCCGCTGCCAGGGCGCTGCCCAGACCGCCTTCCTGGCCCTCCAGGTTCTCGCAATCGGCCTTAGCCCCACCCCCAGGTCTGGCCAATCATCGCTTGGCTAGGCTTTGGAACACCCAATCGACGACATGGCCCCGCCCCGTCCCGCAAGGCCTTTTGGGGCTTGTGGTTTCTGGCCCTGAGTAGCTGCAGATGTGGAGCAGAGGTGACATGGGGCTCCGGGAGACTGTCAGGTTTTGTCAGCGCTTGATCTTCCGCTTTGAGATATTCGCAATCCCTTGCTGTATGACAACAGATCAAATTAAAGGGGGAGAAAGCAAAATAAAATGAACGAAGTTCATCAGACTTTAATCTGCTTCTCGCTTCTTCGGAAGCTTACGACGTGACTACTCTTCGTTAGATTCCGTGGGGGAACTCTCCTGGCTCCTGGCTCGATGTCACCTCAAACTGGAACAGTATTGCTCTGTTTATAGATATTGCTTTGAAGTACCAGCTCAGAGCGTTTGCTTTTGTTGAGGAATTTCGTTGAAAGTGTTGTTGATATTAATGTTAACCCTGCGTTTTTGCAACTCAAGGCGAGTACACTAAGAAGGATTTTTAGAAAGATTACTGTAAAAAATGTAAGAGAATTTTGATGTGTTGATCATTTTGATGTCTTCCAACAAACTAAAACTTTATAGGTATTCAGAGTAGAGGATCATTTTTGGAAAAAGATCTCTCATGACATAGAGATATAAAATTAGATTTACTGAAGCCGGAAGAACCGTTCCTTCCAGATTCCTTGATGCGATGTCATCTAGCACCGCTCTCACATTTTAGAATTCCCAGGAAAAACTCAGTAAGTGCTACAGCCAGTAGGGCCATACAGCTACTTGTGGACAAAGCTAGAAATTCACACTCCTGGTGTTTTCTAAAGCTCCTCTGAGTGCTTTGCTCTATCCCTTTCACTAATTCTACTTAACAACAACAACGATAATTATGTAGTTACTTTTCAATGGCCATTTAAGAAGAGTGTTATGAAATAAATATTTTACACATACAGAAAGATGTAAAGAATAATATAATAAATATTTCCAGATTCACCACCCAGCTTAAGATCTGAATTCTAAAAACAGAATTTAGGGTCTGGAGGGTTAGCACACTTGGGAGACCATGGTACTGGTAATTCCAAGGTCACGGGTTCGGATCCCCTTACTGGCCAGCCACCAAAAAATAAGTAAATGAATAAAATACATTAAATATACATTTAAACCCTTGTGGAATTATTTTTTAAAACTATGGGAAAGTATAAAGAAAAAAAATCATGTACTATCCCAGTATTCAGATATTCACTTAACAATATTTTGATATGTTATCCAATTTTTTCTTTGCACACAAGTACTCATATAAAGTGTGTTTGTTTAAAAATGAGACAGATGCATACTATATACAAAGTTCCATATTTTGCTTCTTTCCTTTAGCATTATATCATCAACATTTCCCTGTACTTAAATATTCCTTAAGTTGTCTCACCATGTAGTGTTTAATATTTAAAGAACATAAGCTATGTATACGTAAAGCAAATTAATAACACAAACACCTGTGATTTGGAGTTTGAAACTAAATGCCCAGACCGTGTTCCTTGCCAGGTCACTGCTCCAGTTCTTGCAATCTGCCTTAGCCTCATCCCATCCAATTTGGGATGACCTAGCCAATCATCCCAAATTATCAATAACATTGATGGTGTCTGTGTCCTATTGTCTTTATCCCCCAACTCCCTGCATAAGGTAATCACTACCTAAAACCATGTGTGTCTAGGTGTGTGTTTTAAATAGTTCTATAACATATGTATAATTCCATATATATGTGTATGTATGTGTGTGTGTGTGTGTGTGATATGTATATAGTTTGGTTTTACTTTCTTTTATAAAAATGATACGGTGCTGGACGTAGTCTTTTTTCCCTCAACACTGTGTTTGTGGGATTTATGCATACTCTTATATCTAACTGTAGTCTATTCACATTCACTATGCATAACATAGCATTCTGTGAATATACAAAAATTTATTGTACGTGTTTCCTGGGCCACAAGTGAAAGAGACTCTCTGAGATATATCTAGGAGTAGAAATGCTGGGTTGTCCTATATGGTCAACTTTAGAAGACAACACTGAATTATTTTCCAAAGTGATTGAAACAGTTTTATACTTAGGTACTTAAAAAAGTTCATGGAAAAATAGAACTAAAAGATAATATGAATCTTTCCATGAACTTTTTGAAGTAACTTCGAACTCTCATCAGCAAGCAGTGCTTAGTATATGAGTTCCTCTTGCTCTACTATCTCACCAGCATTTGGCATTTCAGAGGTCTTAATTTTGCCCATATAGTGGCTGGAAAATATCTCAGTGTAGTATTATTTGCACTTCCAGTTTATCAAGGAATTTAAGCACTTTTTCATAGGCTTATTTGCCATTTGTGTTTCCCTAGTAAAATGTCTGTTCATTTCTTTTGCCAAATTTTATTTTGAGCTGTCTTATTGACCCTTAGAATTTTTTTTTCCTTCCCTTTTTGTCTTTTTTTCGTGACCGGTAACGGGATCGCAACCCTCGGTGTCAAGCCCGCACAGCGCTCAGCCAGTGAGCGGACTGGTCTCTATATGGGATCCGAACCCTCGGCGGCAGCGTCGCCATGCTCCCAAGTGCCGCACTCTACCGAGTGCGCCACCAGGCCAGCCCAGAAGTTTCTTTTTTTTTTTTTTTTGGTCTTTTTCCATGTCCAGCAATGGATCGCAACCCTCAGTGTCACCCCCATACCGGACCGGGACCGGCAACGGGATCGCAACCCTCGGTGTCGCGCCCGCACCTGCTCAGCCAGTGAGCGGGAACCGGTCTGTATGTGGGATCCAAACCCTCGGCGGGAGCACCGCCGTGCTCCCAAGCGGCGCACTGTAGCAGTGCACCACTGGGCCGGCCCCCCAAGCTAAATCTTTATCAACCAGTATTAATCAAGGCCTGAGATATTGGACATAGGTACCCATTCCTTAACTGTCCTGAGTCTCAAGTGCCTATGTAGCATCCAAGGTGGCCATGGGAGGGCAGGCCTCATCTGAATTTACATATCAGGTGTGGAGCCCAAGTCAGAGAAAAGAGGCTACAAAGATAATGTCTAAAGAATATTGTCCCCTCCAGCATGGCTAGGAGCCAGAGCTGAGACAGGGAGGAAACCATATTGGGCTTGTCTTTGTATTGTAGCTTATGGCCCATGCACTGTGGACACATGTGTCCCCAGCTTTACCATGGTCATCTGTCCAGACCCCTGAAATTAGAGGTATAGAACCAAAGACAAGCTCATAAGATGTGTGCAAGGCTTTGGGAGAAGCCCAGGAGCCAGTCCTTCCAGCTTCCAGTTTGCAAACAAATTAAGCAAGTATCAAAAATTCACAGAACCAACAATTGTATGACCTTAAAATATCAAGCAGAGACAGGAAAAATCTGTTTAGACCAATAGACCTAGGCAAAAATGTCTAAATTAAATTTTGAAAATATTTTTTATTTTATTTTGCCAATTATTTTCAAAGCCACCCTTATTTGCTAAAGTCATGTGAACTTGGAAAGCATTTAGGCTTATGTACTTAATTTAGGGGTGCACATTATTTATAGGTTAAATTCAGTACCATGTATGCATGCATACATAAAAGTGTAGAAACAAATAAAGAGTTTTCATTTAAAATCTAGTTACGAGACAGATTTAATATAGAACTCACTAATTGGTCATCATGATCAAGATGGCAGAATAGGTGGTACCCAGCATCACTCTTTCCTACAATCAACCAATTTACAACTATTTTTTTTTTTTTTTTTTTTTTTTTTTTTTTCCGTTCCCGGCAA